GTCAGCTTCACTCACAAGCACCTTGTTGGAATTACCAATGATGAAGTAGTGAAGTTACCAAATCAAAGTGTGGGGAGGGAACTCAATCTTTTGTAATTTTTATTTTACGTTAGTTCCACCTATTGTGGTGTTAAATATCTTTGATACCACAATAAACATACCACAGTTAAATATTGTGGGCGTAAAAATGTGTTTTTTAACCCTCTTGATCAACACTGACCAACTCTGCTTTCACTGCTATTGAGTTTTGGTGGGCAGTTTTGCTAATCCGCAAATGGCTAATCAGTATTTAGTTTGATGTATGTTATAAAACCCATCCTTCCCTCATTATATTAGTCTAAAGTGTAAATAGGGCTCTCTTTATGTAGACACCATAGTTTGATGATTAGATGAGGAGTAAATTTTACATATTTCCTTTCAATATCTCATTTGTCGAAAGTAAGACTGCTTTTTATTTCAGTATATAACTTTTTTTTTCTCCAGTACATGAAAAGCACCATTGCCACCGTTGTTAACTTTCCTATGTAGAGGACAGAAAGTAAATGCACAAAAATTAAATGCAACATTCCTTGTGTTTATTTAGGGTTGTTAATTATATTTGCCTGTCAAGTCCTGGAAAATGGATGTTGAAATGTTTTCTTCCAATTATGATAAAATTAACAGTGTCTTATACTGCTAAGACCTGAAGCCATGTTGAGCATCTCTTTGATCAGCAGAGTGTGATACAGAGCTGAGCACCAAACACGTCAGAACTTCATTAGCTCTTTTAGGGCAAAACACATGTGACCCCAGTTCAATTTAGAATGCAACAATCAAAAAGCCACCTCAGTTCAGACTGGGATTGATTTCTTTAGCTAAAGAGGACCAGGAAAGTTTTAAAGCAACGTCAGAATGTGCATTTTTGTACATCGTGACTGCCCCTATTTCTGAGGCACTCAGTTTAATCTAAAAATATGCAACATGAAGGTAAATATTTCTATAGATTCTGAATTGACTATTGGAATGAGCCTGAGTGTGCCTGAGAGGCACATCGTTGTTTTGGCAATGTGATGGAGGAGTAACCTGTGCAGAGATTGCAGGCATTGGTTCCAGCCCCCAATGAGCCTCAATTGGATAAAGCCTAGTAAGAAAATGGATGGAGGATACAGAAAATGTATGTATTTTCTTTCTTTTCCTCGAATGAGAGAGTGTTCATATTCTGTCAAGGATTAACAGAAAAAAGAAAATCTCCAAATGGGGTGAAGAAGGTGTTGCATTAGTGATAATAGACTTAAGATTACTGTAGACTCAGGTACAGCTTGACAAACAACTTCTGCAAATGCCTCATGAGCAGCAGCTGCAGTGCAACACACTGAGCTGACACAAGAGCTGCAGGGTATCCAGCAGGCTGCACTCCATAATGACTCCGGTTCAAAGAAATACATTTTTAGCATAACAGAATCCATGGGAACCTCGAAACATTACACCTATGTTTTATCCTTAGCGGCAGTAAGCCTTGAGCTGAGTGATGGAAAAGGTAGGAAAAATGTAGTGTGTTTGGACATATGTCTTTTTTTATCTTTTCCTTTACATACTCGTGCCTTGCTCGTCTGCGAAGATGTTGAACCCTGATCTTTATGAAACCCTACAGTTCAGTTTTGAGGCAATGCACAGAACAGTGACTGCCTTAATCAAGGTGACAAATGGCCTCCACGCTGCAGTCAATTCTGCTCTTGTTAGCAGTCTCATTCTGCTTGACCTTTCTGCTGCATTTGACACTGACAAAGAATCCTGCAAACTTGCATAACTGAATACTATGGTTTTACCCTTTCCAAGTTCCACTCTCTGTTTGCGGAAACATGGGACCTTATGTCAAACCCACCCCCTGTCAAACTGGGATTACAGCAAAGCTTATTGACTGGACCTCTGCTTTCTGGCACCTGCATTCTTTCTCTGGGTCACATAGTCAGACATCTTGGACTTGCTGTATCTTCAAACCAAACTGCCTCTCCAGCTTTCTTTTCTGTCAATTACAAACTGCCTCCATGACCTTTTAATAAAGTTGTACTACTCCATTGTTTGATTGTTTGTTCTCTTTATGTAGTATATAAAAAGTGCTTAAAATCAAATTAAGCTATTTATGTTTTATCACCGAGAGTATCTTTATTCATATGCGTGTAAACTGTTAAACAGATATAAATAAGCTTAAAATTTTAGTTGAGTGTGCAAAATTAGCCATGGTCAATTATTATTTTTGCCTGATTTTGCTGCTAATCTATTTCTGTCTTTCCACTAATCGTGAAATCATCAGTGAGACAAGGTGCTTTCAAAACATTTTTTTAAATCACACTGCGGTGCTCTGTCTTCCTGTGTCATGTCTCCCAAGATTTCACCGTGAAGTCAGCATAACACTCCATTTACAACGTAAAACAGAAGAGCTACACAAAATTGATTCTTCTTTTTATTCAGACTTTTATGGTAGTTGAACCCAGCAACATCGGAGAACTTCATTGTTCTACTGAGCCTGAAAAATCACTTCACGATGGTAGATTTATTTTGTGCTACGAAAACTGAATTACCAAAAGTTCTATGGCTGTATGAACACTAGTATTTTTTTTTTTTTACTCTACATAAGGATTTATTTGGCGCCTTACAGACAAACATTACCGCCTGGATTCGATCACAGAGAAAACGTTGATTCAAGAAAAGAAGCAAAATCGCTGAGACTTTATAGTCTTTCTTAATAAAGTGTATCTCCATATCATCATCCAAGGCACTACATTTGATGTATAACGTAATTTATCTTAAGCCTAACCTTATTTTTTTTATTCTTCTTATCAATTATAATTACTGAAAGTAACCAACAAGGTCGTCGCTGAAGAACCAAACAACAGATTCCTACATCCGACACGAGATAGGTTAAGTGCTCTGACAACAGTGCATTAATTCCAAATGACTTCCTGTGCATCTCAGAGACATCATTGGCCTTGTTCTCAGGGCTGTATTTGACGCACTGGGATTGAGAACACGATCACTAGAAAAGAAAAAAGAACTGAAAACTTTCCACCACTTTTACCTCTCCTTTTTTCTCAGCGGACCATTTTGTGATAGTTATTTCAAACCGGTGAGATTTAAATCAAACATTATAGACCACATCTAAACACTTAAAATGCTTAAAATGCTGGGAAACGAAGAACAGAAGGGCGGCATATGATAAAGACTCTTGTGGAAGATGTTCTCGTCAGTTTTTTTCAAATTAAGAGGGTTGCTGCTGCTGACGAACAGCTGTGACTTGAAAGAAGAGGCCACGGACGCTGTTTTACCCCTCCCTCTCTTCCTGATACTGCAGCATATTCCCCACATGCACGTGTAAGGAAGTTGAAAGGGTGGCTGCAAGAGGAAGATAGACCATATCTTCTGTCTGTGTTCTGTGCACCACTTTGTGAACAAAGAAAGGGTAGGGAGCTTCTATTGACTTCATCGCACCGTCCACGTGGGCAGCCTGACAGGCTGATATCAGCAAGTGTTGCACCATTCAAAGACAAGTTAAGAGGGGGAGGAGGTCTTAGGTCAGCCTGCTGGTGAATAGTGGACCGGCAGCAGAAGGTTAATAGAAATCAAGTCTTTGGGCATGGGAAATGACTGTAAATAGAAAATAAGTTACAGTCTTAAAAGCTTGCATGGACATGGTTCAGCTTGAGGAGAACATACAGATGATTCTTTCTCAATTATGACACCAAATAAGGACACGTCACAAAAAAGGAAGAAAAAAATTAAAGTGCCTGTCTGCTGGAATGTCTTCAGAAACGTGTTAACATCAAGAGAAGGCTTAAGTTGCAAATGGAGTGATGCCACACTGAGTTGATGTAAATAGTGACAGAAATGCAGACGCCAGAGGCTTCTAAAACACAACTCTCTCCACTGATCTTTTACATTGTTGACTTGCAGGGGCTGGAGCATTTAAAATACTACTGGCCTGCTTGAGTCTTTTTTCTAATAATGTGGGTGCCAAATAACTCCGGGGCCAATTCCTATAAATGACAGATCCACGAGGCTGGCAAAAGGTTGCAGCTGCCACCTCTTGTCAACTCTCTTGCCAAAGCACTTATCAGCAACTCTATTTTCTTTTTTAAATCGGTAATGAATTGCTAGTTTTATAATAAGCAGCAACAGATTCAGGACTGCTGTATAAGCTGGAAAAACTCCATTTCTGACATATTGATACAACTCAACAAAGGAAACAGAAACAGGTGAGTCAGGAAATCCTCGCTTAAACTTAATGTCTGAAGATGAAAATGTGACTTAGGTTTATCAAACTGGGAAAATTGGGTGGTAATTGCAAACACAAAACGGTAACTTTGGTAGTGTGTAGCACTGTGTGTAAGCCTCCAAAAATTTGCTGACGTACTAAAGTAACCACTAACAGCTTATTTCAGTAATGACCAAAGCCATCCACAAGAAGCAACATCGTTTTGCCCAGAGGCCCAAAAAACAGGGATCTGGATAATCAGGAACCTGGACCGCTCCAACTTTTGACATGCAGCTTCTTTTTTATCACAGCACAAGCTATGAAATAAGATACTTGTTCAGTTCAAAAGTATTTCAAAAGTGTTCTTTGGCTCTGCTTTTCCACTTGTCAGTTTTATGAGCCAGGGTTGGATTAAAAATAATCACATAATATAAAAAATGAGATATATTATATCAATAATGTGTAGTTAAGTAATTGAAATAGAAGTGTATCATGATTAGTTGGAAAAACCTTTGGACAACTTATTTTGGTACATTTTGTAGGGGAATGGTCAGTTTCTCTCAAATGAATTGTTAAATTCCATAGCTGATTTGGTAGTTTTTGAAGGAAATTTCCCATGGATATATGCAACAGGGCTAAGTACAGGCCTATTAACATACTTATTTGACATCATACTATAAATATGTAACACTAAAACATGTTTCCATCACAGGAAAAACAATGGTTAGTCAGTCAACTTGAATCAATTCATTTCAGTTAACACAAAACAAACCTCATTTTTAAGTTGCCCGGTGACGGCTGTCCATCGTAAACTGATACGATGTCAAAGTCTTCCTCCAGTGCCAGTGTGACGAAGGTTAGCTGGATTCGGTTCCGCTCCCCTGTTATTATTAGCCATGTGCAGTTGGCATAGTTGGGGTAGCCGTGTGGAAACCCAGGTGACTCTATGGTGCCATTTAGGCCTTGGACTACACCTCCACAGGCCTCAGCTGGAAGACAGAAATAAGACAAAAAATATTCAGAGTGCAGTTCATCATTAGATCATGAAACCTTGCGTAAGTTTGATTTATTCCGTGACTTTCTAACTTGTCGAGTTCTATAGCTAAACCAGCACATGGTAATACAGAGGAAATGTGAACTCATATCGTGTTTTTTTATTCTTGCCATGAAATTAGTTTAAATAGCATGCAGTTTTTAAACTGGAAGAAAACAACGAAGCAGAGCTAAAATATGCATGTGCTAAGTACCAAGCTAAGTGTTACTCGAGTAACAAGACCCATAACCACATCCAACTCCGACAGAATGCAACACATGCCTCATATGCCTCCCCCGACACCACAACATATGCTATAAGCTTTCATGAAAAGGGTATGAGTATGAGCATACACAGCATTTCCTTAGAATGCACGGCACAATCGTTTCATTGCAAGTTGTCTTAGCCAAGCAGTTTGACCCAAAGATCTTAGCCCTTCCATGATATGTCCATTTAGATACGCTCAGGCATGCAGAGGATATGGTATATGGTGTTGGATAGTGTGAATGGATTCGTGGCTCTTTAAAGTCCCCTGAGGTTATGCACTCAAATAATAAAAATAAATATTTAGACGAAAGCCTTGTACAGCCCTTGCACGCTTCCTGTCACGGATATACATTTTTAAAAAATTACAAGAATCATCTATCGAGCAAAAGACAGATTAAACAACAGATCAAAAAAGTAAATAACGAAAAAATCTTTCTTCTACACCCAATAAAGTATAGTTAATCTATGAATATCACTCCTAAACATCTATTAGCTCATTCCAGCCGGTTGAAATACTAAAACGGGAAACCATCTATTGAAATTGAATAAAGGTCCTCTTCATTTATCTACGTGGTCTGAGTGTCACTGCTTAAAATATCTACTAAAATCTCTACACACTGTGAGGGACAAAGACATATCTGTACAGACTCATACACCAAAGCACAGAATTTATCCAGCTGGCTTCATTATAAAAAAATCATGACTTGATGACTTTCAGTCCGAGAGAAAGCCAGATATCAATAATAAAGCAGCTTCTGAAGCTGTTGATAGTTACGCGGCTGTACAACCAGTCTATTACATGTGCAGTAGGAAAGTGCTTCCATAGGGTTCAAAGTATTAAATATGTGATGCAAGTGTTTGCACTAACTGATAGATATGCATCATAAATCAAATTAGGGTTAAAAAAAGACTTGTAGCCTGGAGAATACACTTGACATTTCTTTGTTAACCAAGTATTGCTTTTTTAAAATATTATTACCGTATTATGGACAGAGGATTGTAAACTTTCATCATATTGGATAGTTTCTTGAGTTGGATATGTTTTGCAAGAATCTATTTTCTATATAGCAACTTGAAACTAAGGCTGGCAGATTAATGAAGTAAAGTAAAGAGGGCAAATATGGTGGAAAAGAGGAATGGTGTATGCGGAAACATTTGCTCTTACTATGCCTTGAGTTAAAGTCTTATGCTTTTGTCTTTCCCCATATAGAATCCAGCAACACTTTTGTCTTGACTTATCTTCTGTAGCCTTGGAGTTTATACTGATATAATGTCCCTATGAAACATAGCAGTTTAAGAAAACATTAATGGAAGAGGCTTACCAGATAATTAAGAGACATATGATATATAGATTTTTGTAGGAAGAGCCTTTGTTTATAAAACAGCAAGATCAAGATGCTGTGTGATGAATATAGACTATTGTTTATGAGTTAGAAAGATCCATATGCTGTAAAAAGGTTGTGTTTAAAGTTGGAGTGGGATCCTTGTGTATTCGGTTTTAAGACTCATCCAGATCTTAAGCATCCATCTGTATCTTTGTGTCCCGTATTCTATGGGCCTGGTTGGAAATAAAATCCTCCTTTGTTGGGCTAAATCTGTAAAAACTTAGTTTACCACTGAGCTGTAAAACCTAGAAAGTTTGTGTGATCCAATATAACTGTTTCTCAGATAAGGATGGCTATTGATCTATTAACCTGGGGTCGGAGGGAAGATACTCACCTTTTCGTGCACACGCACAGACATTTGGTTCTCTCCAAAGATAACTATCAAAAGGGTCTCAACCTATCACCTGAATGCCAACAAAATACACTCAACCTTAAGCTCTAACAGAATCAAATACAGCACCACTATAACACGGAAATTCCTAAATAGCAATGCTTTGAGTTAATATTTCATGCTGATGTCATAGTAGATGGCGATGCACTTTGCTGCATTACATTTAAAGATTGTCTTAATTTTCCTGGTGTAAAGGCTGGAAAAATACAAGAAAGGTGTGTCTTTCTGGGATTCTCTTTCTTTGTATATACTTCTTTTTTCCATCCAAAAAGAGATCCAAAGTTTCCCACTGCGCAGGAAACAGATGTTGTTGTTTGTCTGAATTAAAAAACACATAAATACCTATGCAGTCGCTCAGATGGACAAGCTGGCAGTAACACAGGAGCATACAAGCACGTACATACACAAACTTCAAACCATCTGGAGCGTCTAGATTCCTTTCAGATTGTTCTCCGCTGTCTTTCCAACCCAATTCATCTCTCCCCCTCAGCCACATTTGTGTCCGTCTCTCATATTGTCTTCGGTTGTCTCTCTTTCCGTCTGCCATTCCTTTCACTGCCTGATACCCCTCTGCCTCCTTGTGAGCAGATGGGAAAAGCAAAATACAGCAGACCCTAGCATTAAGCCATGTTGTTGTGCCATACTTGAAGGATTTCTCGTCGAGCTTTTGCTTAGCCTAGGCCAGATTCAGTCATGGTTTGTTTGCTTTTCATCTTTTTTTTTTCTTTATAAGCATTCAGATACTTACTTTGTGTCATTTTTGCTGCATTAACTTCCAATGATCTTGCTAGCAAGATTACACAAATTACACGTCAGACTCATTGTCATGAATTTACAATGAATTCATTTACAATGAATTTATCGGAAGCAAGTCATTAAATTTCTACCTGACATGTAGAGCTGTGAATCAACATGTTTTACAATTCATCCTGAGAATAATCACATGAAATACAAAAATTAGATCCGCACCATAATTTGGTGGTAACGTCATCATGTAAATATGTGGTGAATAGAGAAAACCTTTCAACTTGTTCAACCAAGAGAAACCAAAATATTGGTTCTGCCAATCAACCGGCTACTCCAATAAATATCTATACTTGGCAAAAATACAGTAGTTGTAGCCAGAAAAAAATGGTGATGGCTATAAAAGTGATTATCAAGAATCGTTTCTCAAGAGAAAACTTTCAACACCTGTTGGCAAAGGCCAGCAGCTGATCAGAAATGACCATCATTCTGAAGAACGCACAGCTGTAAAAAGTGGCATTTCCACTTGCCAGTGACTAAACAGTCACAGTCTGCTGGTCTGATGAACAGAAATAATGCCAAATTATGTGATGTGAAAAGGTTAACCACACATATTCAAATATATGCAATCATGGTCTGCATGTTTGTTTTATTGCCATGGTAACAGATGATATTGGTTGTAAAAAAAAAATGGTTCACTCCCCCTGGATCCATATCATTTAGGCTTTCAAGCTCCTTCTCTCTTTAGTTTCCTCAGCAGGATGAAAAACTGTTTCTCATCCATCAGACACCTGCTGTTTGTTACAACAACAACCACAAAAAACTCATTGCCAGTGTGCCGGTGACATGAATGTGTGTGCCTATAGGTAGAGCGTGAAATAGCCACTTCAGAGACAGGAGATAAAAGAACGCTGTCAATAGCACATGCAACCTCTAATGCCGACATGAACACAAATGCTAACATGCACACTGTACCGGTCTTCATTAAATAACAGGGAAAAACAGCTCGTTTGCTTTCTGTCCTATACGTGCAAGATTCTTCCCTTTCCGTTTATGCTGTTTTCAGTCAACACAACGACCCTGTTTCAAGAATATTCTCGGTTTAACAATGAATTCTTAAGAATTTCCTCAAAAGTTTCAAAGGCCACCTGTCATATATCAGCATTCAACCCAAAGCAGCCTCAATCTTAGCCTTCTCCACTCAGTGTTTGTAATGCTGGAAAATGAATCACTTTTGACCAGCACCCTGAACTTTGTCTGCATGGTTTGATAATGCATTGGGCTAATGCATGGATCTACATAACAATCACATGGAATGTTAAATTTGAGCTGCTGGGAGACAGCAGAGATGTGGCATGCCCCAGTAGAACCTGACCACAAGGTCCCTGGCTCATAAATCAAATGCTGGCCTCCTCTTTCCACAGTGTGCTGGGCCACAAATCAAACACATCTTTTTAAGTTATGCTGTGCAGAACTATTGACTGCAGTGATTCAATACCAGCAATGAAAAAAGTAGAGGGAAGAAGAGAAGAAAGAGAAGGAGAGGAATATGCTATCTGTTTTTCTGGTATCCTTGTTTTCATTCGCTTGTCACCTTCATCCCATCATCCTTCTGCTGTATAGCACATGGCTGCCCCCACCCTTTCGTTTTCATTAACTCACTATGTTTCTCCCACATTATGTTTGTCTCTATGCAGCCCTGGATCTCCCTGCATCTCCCCACTTGATCTCTTTCTGTATCCAACCTTCTGTCCATTCCTTGCCCACTTTATTACGCCAGCATTATTACAACCTCGTACCTCTCTCTATGCATCCTTACCACCCCGCAGCTCAGATCCTCTATCTCTTTCCCCAGCTCTGTCATCATCTCTCCCCTCTCTCTTATCTTCCTACCTCTCTCCACCTCTCACCCCTTCATCCCTCCAGTTCCCCCTGCATCCCTCTTTTGCCACAATTATCTCTGTATTAGCCTCATCACATCTCTCCCTAAGTGTCATTATGTTTCTTCATAGCTATTATTATCTCTCTGTCATATTGCCTCTATCCTGGTGTCATTATATCTATCTCCTGTGTTTCCCTCTCTGATCCAGCTTGAGTGTTGGGTTGTTTTTATTCCACCCACTCACCTGCTATATTTATCACGCGAAGAACAAATACCAAAACCTCTCTGTCTGTTTTTCTCTCCATCACCATGTCTTGCACTCTCTGTCAACTCACTGTCGAACCGTTTAAATAGGCAGTAGATCTACCGAACAACATGGAAGTTAAATGCCAATGAATGCCAGTTTTGAAAAATCTTTAGGTTTTCTGGTAGATAATGTGAAAAGAAACTACAATGAACTTTAAAAAGTCACTGACATTCATGCACCAAACATTAACGAAACTCTTGTGCTGAGAATTTTAATCAGGTAATAAATGACATTACTTTGGTGTCATTCCTAGCATTTTAGTTAATGCAATTAACATCAGACCTTTTTATTTTGATTAAAGTATCCACAAAAAAAACAACTCCTTAATTTGAGCCAAAGAAATTGGATGCAAACTGACGCTATAAGATAGTGCCTATGTCTTTTTTGGGCTTGTATTTCCTTGCCAGCAGGATAATTTGATTTTAATAAATCAGTAAAGGTGAAAAAAACTCTTTACAGTGATAAAAATTCCACCATTACTTCAAAAACATTAAGCCATGAAGAATGTTAGAGAAATTCAAGATTTACACATTCATCAAATCATTAAACAAAATTTACATTTAAGAGAAAATCCATAGACTATACAAGGCCGTAAACAAACAAACCAAAAAATCTGACCTGTTCATTTTTATTTCATGTTTCATTTCAACGGACTGATTTCTGAGGGAATCCTCCATCCTCTTTCCTCCATCAGCTCAAACATTTTAAGATCATGGAGATGATTCCAGGGGTTCAGATCAAGCCTAAGGAGTCCATTTCCGAGTTTACTGACACCCAGTTCACAGAGGGACATACAAGGGTTCCCTCTCTGAAGCTCTATGTAGTTCAGCCATCAAAATGTTTTGGAAAAACATCGACTTCTGCGCTTTTCTGAGAAGACGTTAATCTCTCTGCAGACATGATTGCTCATAGGCACCGTCTGATATTTTGTCATTCCATCATTTGTATTTGGTTCAACACTCTCAGTAGAGCTGCCCAAGCTTGTTTGTTTGGGGGTTTGAGGGCTGCTGTCAGTCCAGTGATGCCAAAGCACTAGAGGCAGTAATGCAGCGCAGAGGGCTGCCACAATGACAGCTCATTACCAAACGCGTCTCCAAATGCAAGAAATAACAAATTAATGCAGATTAGTCTTTTAGGGCTGTGTGACTAAAATTAAATGCCTTGCTGCCCTATCAAAAAGTAAGGATGGTTCCTGCGTAGTATGACCGTTCCTAAGCAAAAGTCTCCGGTTGTCGGCACAGTTACTTTGTTGTGTTATTAAATTCCTATTGCAGGTATCTATACAGTCTCTCCTCATGAACATCCAGTTAGTATAGCAGAGCTTATTGTGACAAGATTAAATGAGAATGACTGCTTTTTCGGGTTGCGATCTCCTGTACAGACAGATAAATAATAACATACTATGCAATAAATGTGCTATTTCGTCCTTCCAACTGGAAGCTGGGCCACAACCCAGCTGTTATTGATTCAAGTTAACCCTGCAACTTTCAGAGTCTCTGTGTTCTGTTATGTTCACCAGGTATTAGCCAACCTTATCTGTGTTCTGCTAAAAGGTTTTCCTTGAAAACGACTGCCAACAGGAGCAGGAAATGGCACCATTAGAGCAGGTAACAGTGGAGCAAAAGTGTAATAATACCATCCTCAACAGCAGTAGTGCACTGATAGATGCTTCTGGCAAAAAACTTAGGAGTCAGGTAGTAATTTTCTGAGTCCATCACTCTGGGCAACCTCTATCAAAGTAATCATTATCAATCTTTAAATAACCCTAGAGTAAGGTATTTCTTATCAGAACAGCAGGGGCTTTTCACTTGCTAATGCTCCGTGTACTGCATTTTGTATTTTGAGCACCCACCCGTTTAAATTGTCAAAATCTAATTTCTGACCTCTTCCTGAGAATACTACTGAGACACTAAGGGGGTGACACATAAGCAGCAGGAGTCATCAAACTTGACATGTCAATGAATATCCATGGGGCCACCAACATGCCAATAAAGAGACTGCCTGCTTACATACAAACACACACACAAAAAGATATACATAAATTGCTTCACCTCCATGAAAAGCTGACCTGTAGATGTGATACACACGTACAGAGACACACTTACTGTAGCAAAAAACAGACATTAGTTTTTCTGTGGTCAAAGCAAGGTGGGAATTCAAATCCACGGACTCAGCAATCTGCTGAATGTGTGTTATAGTGCTGCATGGCAAAAGGGGTGCTAAGGGCAGGCAACGGTAAGCAATCCTCTGAGTCAATGAAATTTGTTTGCAAGTGCAAGTGTGTGTGCCTGAGCATGGGACAGTGGGTGGTGGTATCTATGGTAAAGTGTGCTATCATGTGGAAATATTCTAATACAAACTGAAGCAATCTGAGACTGGTACAATCAATTATTGGTGACAGGAGAGAAACAGGGCTCAGAAAGGTCTGCTCGTTTCTCTTTATAGTTTCATTATCAAATCATTTAGTTTTCTTTAAGGCTTTGCCTTACTCAAACATATTTTTGTCTTTGATCATCAACATGTCTCCTTTTTTTTCTTTGAAGGCTACAGCATTGTTCCTTAAATTAGCCTTAACCAGAGTCAGGCACACTTTTGTTTTCTGTACACACTGTATTTGTGTGTAGGAACAATTGCTTTGCATGAAAGAAATAACTACTCTTAAGTGAAAAGGTAAAGAAGACACCAAAACAGGTGTGAACCCACAACTGTTTACAGATTAAGAAATAATTTTCCAACATCTACATATGTAAATGAGTCACGACATTCAAAACAAAAAGTTTTTCTTTAACTCTTTGAGCTGATTTTGTTTGTTTCATTGTGTCATCGTGGCCATCTTTGTGCAGGTGTGTGCTCTGTCTAAGCACACACATTGGAGCTCATTAAATTGAAAACCAAATTATACCTTCATAAAAGCATCAGAGCCTCAGCAGTCCAGGTGTGTCCCTTATAATTTTATGATAATTTCTATTAGACATTCTTTCTCCTGTGAAAATGATCCACTTAAATTTGACCTTCCCATCCACTCCTGTGTCTGTGACACAACCTTTATATTGTTGTTTGAATATTTTAAGGTTGGTTTAATTGAGTTTCATTTAGTCAAGTGTCTTACAATAACAGTTAGACTCTTTGAGACGCCATGTGTAATATGGAGGACATGCATCCATATATATTAGCTGTATATTATCAAATGTAAATCTATGAAATCTGCCTCTAAAATTACCCCTTCCTTCAACTATTAATTCACTTGAATGCTTGAAATCGGGCTTAAAATAATGGGACTTTGCTTCAGCTGCAAAAAAAACCTCATTCAATTGTCAATAAGTCGTGATACATTTAGCATTCACCATTTTATTTAAGTTTTCCATTCCGGGTACAATCCACAGAGCCCCAAGGTTGCGGTGAAACTAACGAAGTATGTTGTACTGAATAAAGCTGATTATCTGTTGGTGCTTACTGTATCGAAGGGTGGGTTATGTTGTACTTCCATTGTGCACTTTGATATTAAAGCTGTTATGACATAAGGCAAAAAAGTTCACTGTAAGGGTCTGAATTCTATTCTACAATTCAATTCTACAAGTGGCCATATTCTGATGTTGGAAGACTTTACTCAGTCATTTGTACCAGATGGGAAGTGGGCAGGGGAGCAGAGTAAGTGTAGTGGTCAGACCATTATTAAGTGGTATTAGTAACATTAAAAAAAATCTGTGTATCATGGATTTTATTTAAAAATCCATGATACAATGAGATCGTAAAAAGTGCATAGAGCGAGAGGCTATTGTATTACCAGGAAACCAGTTAACTGCTGGTCATCCATTGCCACTGGACTGTAGTTTTATACATTGGGATCCTCTAAATGAAAGTCCCTGGACTTTATGACACAACCTACAACAAGGAAAGTACAAACCTAGGCGCTTTTAGGGCATTTTTACTGCTCCTGTAGCATTCACTGTGGTAACAGTGGTTGTGAAATCATTCCACATGGGTTTACTTTTTTCACTGCTTTTGTTTGCTTGTGTGTCAGACATGAAGGAAAATAGTACAACTAGACTACAAACCTCAACACAAAACAAGTAAATGAACATTCATTCATCTATCCACTGTTCCTTGTCAGCTTAAAGAAATCTAAACGTTGCATCTTTCATTAGACAAGCGTGCTTTTAGCTAAAAAAACTAGTTAGCTGAAGCTTTAAAAAGCACATGACAAGGTACCACGCCCACCAACCCATGACGTCACGTTAAGGTCAGCAACACACCACCCCCACTGTAAAAAGGAGCACCTCAGTGAGGGGATATATATTGAGAGACCTAATTTGGCAGAAATTACGCCTTTTAGTCTGAGCCATTACATCCTGAACCACAGCATACTGTGTCTAAAGTGATGGCTGGGTTTAAGTAATTCACTTGTAAATAAGTCAGCTTTTTTCTGCAGAGAAATTAATTGGGGTCTGTCAGTTCCAGTATTTATCTAATTGGTTACACCTGCAACAGCTCTGTACTTTACAATCCCAACCAGGCTTTACAGAAGGGGGTTGGGAAGGGAGGATTTTTTTTTTCCATGAAGCATTCT